CGTACTAGTCTAACACAGTTACGACTTTGAACTTAGAAAATCTGTCGCATTTACACATCAAGTTTTTTTCACTTGTGTTATAAGTTTGACTATCAATTCAATTTATTGGATCAGTTTAAAAATCATAAACATTGTAGATTTTATAAAGGAACTGATTTATTTAACAATGCTGGTTTCCATACTACGAATAACTAATGTAAACTTGGTACAGGCAGAAGAGACCCTGAGAGACGGTTCAATTCGTCAAACAGGCATAACAGTTCCTCAACTAATTAACTAAACTATGTCAAGATCGATTTGAAAACATTTTACAACTTACAATGTTGGCTTTCAAATGTTGGAAGGCAATGCCTTACAACACGCAGCCTGTTTCACTGACCTTTCTTAATAATCAATAGTGAGTTGAAAGAACCTGTTCTTTTATTTTATCACGGTTAGTGCGCTCTAATTTACTGTTCTACCTTATCCAATCAATCATTCTCTACAAAGTATAAACTATTTGGAGTTTCATAATAAGATTCGTATAATTAACCAGAAAAGGAATGAATGAATTCTGTATTTGTTTGAACCAGGAATCGCCTGGTAGTTTGCGTGACCAGACTATGAATCGGAGGAATTGTGGTTCGGGTCCAGTGGGAGAACAATAGCAGTGATGATAAAATTCCCCTATTTGATCAGATAAAAGTAGATCAAAAGTTAGCGGTGTATGCCTAAAAGTCACTGCCTTTTCTCTAGTTTGCCAGTTCAGAATTAGGGAATGCTATGCACAGATAGCCCTTGTGTAGCCGTATGCGAAATCTTGAATCAAAGAAATACATATATGCTCTGAGTTCGAGATTGAGCGCATATTGAATATGTGATATTATATGAAAATATAATCTCACATTAGGTTTCGCGTGAAAATTCTGCTCTAGTGTAATCATGGTATAGGTTTAATTAGCTAATGTGAACCTATGTTCAACCATTACATTTCACTCTCATCTTAAAATATGGAAACCTTCGAGTGTTAATTTATCGAATTCTTTAATAGCCTCAACGTCTTTTTTTTAGAATAAAAGTTTATAAATGAAAGTAAATATATTTAAAATGTACAACAAACTACCAAATGTGCTTTATGAAATAATGTACATGCACCTAAAAATTGTACCAAACTATTCCAATGTGTTTTGTAAAAGAGTATAAATAAATGTACATACAACTACAACCTACACCAAACTATCCAATGTGATATGTGAAAGAATAAACATATATCTGAAACCTACATCAAACTATTCCAATGTTTTTGTAAAAGAGTATAAATAAATGTACATACAACTACAACCTACACCCAACTATCCAATGTGATATGTGAAAGAATAGACGTATATCTGAAACCTACATCAAACTATAAAATGTTTTTTGTAAAAGAGTATAAATAAATGTACATACAACTACAACCTACACCCAACTATCCAATGTGATATGTGAAAGAATAAACATATATCTGAAACCTACATCAAACTATAAAATGTGTTTTGTGAAAGAATGTACACATATATAAAACCTACACCAAAATATAAAATGTGTTTCTTATTGTTGAGTATAAATGAATGTACATAAAGTTAATAGTTATACCAAGTTATCCAGTGTGCTGTGTACTGTTATAGAGAATCGCCAAGAAAGTTATTTCCGTTAAATTTGGGAAATGTTTCGTTAAATATAATATTAAGGTGATACACGTGATTTTAACAGATTATTACGCGATATAATTCAAGGTTATTTTAACTCACTTGATTTTTCAGTTTTAGTTCGTGTTTGTATGTGTTAAAGAGGACGCTAGTGTCTCCTTCTTACGTCAAATGATTTGTTTTTTGTTTGTTTGTTTGAAGTTAAGCACAAAGCTACACAATGGGCTATCTGTGCTCTGCCCACCACGGGTATCGAAACCCCAAATGATTTGTTTTTGTTTGAACTTAAGCACAAAGCTACACAATGGGCTATCTGTGATCTGCTTACCACGGGTATCGCAACCCGGTTTCTAGCGTTGTAAGTCCCCAGACATACCGCTGTGCCACTGGGGTGCCAAATGATTTGTTGTCCCAATCTCTATTTTTTTGCAGCGAGATAAGGCAGTCAGTTAACTTCTGTGTAAAATTGAGTTGAGAACCTGTGTTTAAAACATTGTGTGAAAAAGAAAGTTACGCTCTCTGTTTTTACATGGAGCTTTTTTTTTGTTTTTACACCGATACAAAATCCATACTGCCTTTGATACTTCAATATCTATATCGATATCGTTATCGATGAATTAAACCTAAAGAAATTAAAAATAATTTAATTGCAGAGGGGTGTATTATTGATATCCAAAATACATATGGAGAAAAACAACATATCTTTTAATGTATTGCCGGTTCTCGACAGTTGACTTTTAGTTGGTGTCGTCATTAGTGATAGTATGAGATTGCGCATTATTTTCATTTAGCTGTCCCAACATTGAACATCTAATATTAGAACAAGTAAAATGTCAACGAAATAAAATTGATTTATGAATTATACGACAAATCACGTGATTTCCTCTCTCTGAAAGAAAAATAATGACATTCATGATATTTATATAATCATCTGTGAAGACACCTCTGGAACAAGGAACCTTATCGCGATTTTAATCTTCGTTTAAAAGAACACAAAACCTATTTCTGACTTAGCTAAGAAAAATTTTCAGAGCCTAGTTAATAGTAAAATTATTGTAAAATCAATAAATAAATTTCTCTCTAAGCGCTTCTTTAGTTTGTTTGTTTCATATTTTTGTACAAAGCTACACAGATGTTATCTTCGCTAGTAGTTTCTAACATCAAACTAATAGATTAGAGGAAAGGTCGTTAGTTAATACCACACACCGCCACTCTGATCGATATGTGTAGACGGACTTTGTGACATAAGGACGCGAACCATGGATTCTCTAATTGACAGTCCGACATGCAAAACGGGAATATTTTCACTATGTCTTCAAATAATGAATAATGATATTATTGTGGATTGTTAATAGATTGTCACTTCCTAGGATGCAATAATACAGCACGTGAACTACGAGCTGTAATATGAATGAAGACCAATACGGCATAGAGGGCGCATATATAAATTAACTTCGTTGTTCAGGAAATACCTTAAAATGTTTAGTATGCAACTATAAACCATGTTCATTAATAGAGTAAATGCAAGGGCAATAAACAGAAAATATCCAGTCTGTATAATAGTTAACACAATCCATTCGATTGTTTCTTATAGCGCACTCACGGCTCCAAAGTGCGGAGAGCGATTTTGCGGCAATGGGATCATGGACTTCCGGATCCACAGTCTGAGCACGCTAATCACTAGGCCACGTCTGGCATCAACAGAATCTGAAATTTCCATTTGTTCTCTTGTAATATTTTTCAAGAAATTACTATTGATGTTGTTGTTGTTTGAAGTTAAGCACAAAGCTACACAATGGGCTATCTGTGCTCTACCCGCCACGGGTATCGAAACTCGGTTTCTAGCGTTGTAAGTCCGCAGACATACCGCTGTGCCACTGGAGGGGGGCATTACAATTGACTCTCATGCTTGTATGGGAAAATAAGACATCAAAATAATAAAATAAAAACATGCATTAAAATAACCATCTGGGGAAATCCTTCTTCAATTCAAGTGATCAATATGGTTTTCTTATTTCTTTTCTTTTGGCAAAATGTTTTCTTATCCCCGCATTAAATATATTTGTACTTTTTACACTCCTTAAAACAACTAGTAAAATTTATTACCTGCCATTATTATATTTATTTTAGTAATTTAATACCCAATGAGCTCCATTTTTGTCGAGAGTCAAATTTCCAGTCCCTACCATACTCGCACTTTAGACTCGTAGTTCGATTTTTTATGAACATTTAAAAAATCTATTTTCAGTGGGATTTTTCCGAAGTAAAGCTAAAAATGTGTTCGCAGGTATCGTCAACTGAAAGCTGACAGGAAAAAAAACAAAAACAAAAAAAAACGATAGCTTGGATGAATCATTTCACCGTAACGGAACAAAAATCGATGAATAGAGGCGAGTTTTCTGACGCAATATTCCTGTCACAAATATTACGAAATTCATCTCTTTATATAATGGACGAAATATTTATCTTTCAGTTTCTCAAATGGAGATTTTCATTCTACTCTTCTAAACCTCCCAAGGAAAGTGACTGAGAAAATTCTTGATTTTTTTTTGTATATAAATATGGCTTGTCTTTAAACAGAATCGGATTAAGAACACAGTGGGCCCATATACAACTTGAGTTCCATGTCCCCCTTCTCAACACGTCCTTAGTGGGCCCATAGACAACTTCAGTTCCATGTCCCCCTTCTCAGCACGTCCTTGTTATTTTTTTGCATCAAAGTTTTAATCATTAAAACAGCCTTTTACCAAATATAATATTTTCAAACTTTTACAGTTTGCAACTGTAAAAAATTAAGTGCAAAGGCTATTATTAAAAACAAATAGCTAAGTTGCAGAGAACATGAACTCGTGGACAGTTGCCTTCTCTGCCTCTTGGTTAACCAGGCCCTGACCTTGAATAGCTATACCTAAAGAGGATTAAAGTTATTTTTAAAAATCGATAAATGGTTATAATATTTACCTATTATTAGTTTTAGTATAGAATGTAAAAGTAGAATGAATTGTTGGCTTCGCTAACGATGTTGAAACAACTCGATGTTTTTTTTTTTCGGAGGAACATGAAGAGCCTGACGTTCAGGTATAAGCTACTTTCAACTAACGGTGTACCAATAAAGATCTCGACTCGCGGATCGATCTAGTATGGTACGCGGAAGGTACACCGTCGTGTAACACGATTTCAGGTAAGGAAGGCTGGATCGGACAGAACCCAAGATGTGAACTGTACGTTATACCTATGCACTGTGCAATGACATCGTACTATAGCGCCCTCTAGAACAGAGCTAACAATAACGCCCGTAGAAAGCAACAAACGAATCTATAAGGTTGACTTGGCAGCTGGCTAGCAGGTACTCTCGAGTTTCTGGTCTCATTTCCCACTGAAGCAGTGCCTGACTAGTCTGTCAGTTTGATTTTGATAATTCTCTCAACCCGTTGCTAGGTCACCAAGACGAAACTTTGACAAGTGTTGTTATTGGTTAATCAAACCGGCGAGGTTAGTGAGCTTAACATTGTGCTTTGTCTCTCAGGAGCAAGGGTATATATTCTATAAACGTCTTACCCGAAGAAGAATTAGAAACGTATCTTAGACAACATTCTTGTATTATTACCATACGACTTTTTTTAGCAGGTAAGAACTTAGTGAAGAATTTTCACATTTATTTTCAACAAGCACTTTTGAAAAACTTGTTTCTTTGTTAATATAATTCTTCCCCTAATACTTTTATTTCGGTACCTCAAGTTATACTTGTTCGTTGTTTTAGCGTCTAGCTGTACAATGGGATATCTGCGCTCTGTCCACCGCTGGGAATCGAATCCCGGAGTTTAGCGTTGTAAGTCTGCTGTTCCACCAGTTGACTACGTTATAAATAGATGTTTTTTTTTAAATCGACTTTTGTCATGTATACTTATGCTCTTCGAAAAAAATTATCTGACAGTTTATCGATTAATCAACCAATCACTCAATCTGCTGATTTACCTGTCAATTATTGTGTTTATGTGGCTTCATGGTAAAGCTAATTGCTTTGGAAGCACTTGTGTAAGGTCAATAAAAAGTTCTATACCTATACACCCATAAAACGTAGTGTTTATAAACGTATTTTGATATAAAACACGCTTATTAGACCTAGAACGTAAAAGTCTGTAAGACTGCATCTTCTCACAGACAAGTGGGACATTTTTCTTTTGATAGGCAGGCTGTGAATATGCGAGAAAAAGAAGCTGTTATGTTTCATTGCTACCACATTTTAATACAGTTAATTATCTGTGTTTACAAAGAAATAAAACCAAGAAGGTAAAGTGTATCTAGTAACTGGCAACCGATCATCTGCTGATATTATTTCATGAGGCGGTCTGAATACAAAAAAAATCTGAAAACAAAAGCACAAGCAGTTGAGAGAAAAAAAAATGTTTCGTTGTTTTCAAATTTAAGTTGAAGCCCTTGTTCAAATGACTTTTTTTTCGGTTCATTACCTGAAATATTGATTTTTCGAGCGGCATGAAAGTAATATGTTGTGTGATTCCCAGGCTGTAAGATATAAAGGTGTTTTAAAAGGCAAATGAAAACAGTTCTAGACAGTTATAGTAGAGGGACAGAGGTATACATACATATATACATGTATCAATTACTGCAGGAGAAAATACGTATTGTAATTAAGATATGGATGAACGAATATAAGGACTGATTAATTAATGGATAGACAAGTAAGTGGATTGGTGATTATACTACACTATAGATTAAGTAAGTGCATGGTTAGAAGGGTGGACAGATAGGAAGATAAATGAAAAAGATGCCTGAATGAATAAATAGATGAATACTCAAAAATGATAATTTAATTTGATAAAAGTGATAATATAAAATAATCTTATTTCCGAATCTGTTATAGACTTTGTTTTTTATAGATCAGGCCACTTGCCAGGGATTTTGAGCCCCTGATGCAAATCGAAAATATGGGAGGCTTAACTATTATCTGACTGTAGCAATTTCGCATACGTCAAATCAAAAACAAGAATAACGTCAGGAAAAATCCGTAAAAATACATTAAGACAAAATACTTATGGAGTTACGTTATTTAAAATCGTTAATTAAAGTCAAGATTACATATTGTCGACAACAATGTTTATTTTACTGTAGGGGCCTTAAATTTGAAACTTTAACTGATAGCTTGTTCTCAAGTGTTATTGATTTTATCATAACCAAACTCATACACTTCAGTGTATTATCAGGTGATTGGATTCTCTCTCTTCAAGTTGCGGCAAGTTATTTTTGCATTTTTATTTTATGTTCGGATGCTAATATACTTTTTTTTTAAACCAGAGTGTCTGCCTGTTATAGAGAATAACCACGAAAACTAAAAAAAGAAAGAAAAAAGAGACGATATAAACTCTGGTGGTGTTTTAACATCTCAATGACGTCAAGAAAATGGTGTTTTAACATTTTTATGACGTCAATAAAATGGTTTCGTTCAGTTTTAATTTAGTGAATAATGTATTTGCATGCGTGTTAGAATGCGAGTTTTCTTATACTTATTCTTCACTTCGCTAACATTACTGAAAATATTGAAGGGTTTCGAACATATCCTTTTCACATCTTGAATAAATGTTTAATGCATCTTTTACCATAAAAAGCGATACCATTTTGTACTCGCTAAAGCTATTTGATATGTAATTTGACGTTTTTATATCTATATTACAACCCCCCCCCCCCTAGTGGCACAGCGGCACGTCTCAGACTTACAATGCTAAAAAGCTGGTTTCGAACCCCTTCGTGGGCACAGTATAAATAACCATTATGCAGCTTTGTGCTTAACTACAAAAAAACAAAACAAACTATAAGATGAATACTAATAATGTTAAGTGTTGTTTGTATGAAACACTTTATAAAAAAAACAACTAAAGTTGAAATCAAAGCCAGTCGTCATATGACATTGTGGCATGATATACCATACTCGTTGTATTAAAAACTTTGACTAAGCAAAAAACAGGCAAAGAGATTTTGAATGAAAAAGTCAATATGCAATCTGGACTCCTCGGACAAAGGCCTTTTTAACGATATGAGATTTGTAGCGTTTGATCGAGAAATTTACTAGAAAATTCCGGACAGACAAACACAAGCGTATTATTTATATAGATTACCATCTATGGAATAAACTAGGCTTACGTATTAGGCTTAAATTATATTTTATCATTAGGTTTTCTTGTGTTAGCCCAAGGTCTCACATTTGCTAGGTCTAAGTTATTCAAGGAAATACTAAGATTTCGATCGTTGTAAGTCTGTTGTAAATGTTTAGAAGATACGTGTTGAGATAATGATAAAGTGCTTGTTTGATTGGGTAATTATATCATTATGTAAAAGCGTTTGCTACTGTTAGCCAGGTTAGCACGAGTCTGTCCAGGTACCGCGGATCCTTCGTAAGAGAAGACAAGCTCTCCACGTTTCTCAAGTGAAAACGGTTGTAGATAAACTCGGTTGAAATACGGTGTTTCCAGAACTGCGACTTAGTTTCAGAATCTATAATATTTTGTAGTACCACTCTAAAGCGAGGCTAGTTGGATAAATGGTTCTTTGCCTACTGGCATTTCACCTGTCAACACAGATTGTAGGGCTTTTCAAAAACGTGTGGCTGGAATACTTATAACTAGCAATTATACTTAAGGGGAACATATGTTATATCGTTGTATTTGTTTATTTGAGTTATGTGGTTGAAGCTCAACATTTTTTTTTGTTCCAGTGAAACAGTGTTATTACAGGAGCGTAGGAATTGGGGGGCCAGTGAGCACGTGACTCCCAATAATTTCTAAACAACAGGCTGTGTAAAACATATCGGTATTTTAAAGCCAACAACATATTATAGACGGTATCATTACATTTTCCAGGCCTAAACACATATAATAATATATATTCAATGTCATCCTACTGAAAAAAAAAAGACATTAGTAATTTATGTTCGTTTATGAAACCAAGCTACTATTGACTGTGTTATGGATTATGAATAATGCATTTTTTGCAAGAATTGTCATTTGAAAAATTGAAAAAACTACTTAGAGGTTATGTGTAAAAAGTATTCTAAGTTATTTGTTTTTTTAGCAAATCCATATAATGGCGTTATTTTAACATAATCACACACACACACACACACACACACACATATATATATATTGTTTTTGCCAATAGGTAGAGTATAACTTATGTGTATTATCTTCTTGGTTACATTTAAATATCGCATTATGAGTATAACCAATGATGTTTTGACAATGTAACTGAAAAATGTTATATTTTATAAACTCGGGAATTTTAGTGCCCCTCATAAAAAAGTACTTAACAGAAGTGATAAATTGCAATTGTAAGTACAAACTAGCTTAAATAGCTAAAGATAAAGTGAACAGATTGAAATGTTTATAAAATATAGTGTTAGCTGAAAATTGCTGACAATGATGTTAGTGTCTATTGAATAGTAGATTCTTTGATTAAAATAACATTAACGGTTGCACTCTCCTGGTTTTGAATTTTTTAATTATGAAGGTTAATATCATACTTGAATATGTGAATTGCAAGAACTTACCTTAGATTCGGAACTAGGTTTAACAAATGTCTAAGTGTTAACGCACGTACTGCAAAGTGGTATCTAGTCTTACCGATGTAGTCGACTTTACAGCCATTGAACACGTATTTATGTGTTACCAAAGATCTCCAAATTATGATATGATCTGTATATGTTAATATGTTTATTTTTTGTACTGTTAACCGCTCTCATTGATTTATTCCTTATGTAATGGCGTGAGCTACTTAACTTTTAATTTGACATGTATTTTAATTCCATTGTATAATATTTTATGCGCTAATTTTATCGTTCACGGTTTCCTACGTGTTTCATTTGGCTCGTTTCCATATCAAATTGCTGAAGATGGGTTATAATAACCGGAAACATTGAAGACTAACACGACATTTGTTTCATTCGCTGTCTGCATCGTCTTGATCAAGTTTCTACGGGCCGGAAATGATTCAAAATTATTTTTGTAAAAGTTATGTTAAAAAATAATCATTTTTTGTGATATATCACGATGGGCTCCTTCTTTCTCTCATAAAAGTAAATTCATAATATATCACATTTTAAAACTTCAAACATAGGTGGCTTATGATTCATAATATACTATAACAAGCAAAATTACCCGTCCCCAGTGACGGAAAAGGTTTACATTATTTCATGGACTTTAAAAAGATTAATTATGTTGCACTCTTAGTCTCACTCAGAGCCAAAGCTCTGAGCTACTTATAACCCCTACCGCGAAAAGTAATTATTGAGCATTTCATTCATCCTAAAGTAATAATAATACTTAATCCTACTTAATAATAATATACGGTAAATCTACATTTTTATTTAAGTTACGTCACATTTTGAAATGTGAATGATAGTGTGATTAATTTCTAAAACCTTAGTGTGGAATATCTTGCTTACAAAATAAAATCTGGTATCAACATTATTCATGTCTACAGTGTAGTAGAATGTTAAGAGACAAAAATGGGATAAATTAAACTCTATTATGATTGAATAGTTATATATATATTGCTATATGTTAATTCTTGCCTGTTTTTGAAGGATTGATATTAGACATCCATACATTTACTTCCTTTTTTAAAACATTTTTTCTTTACTTTTTTTTTTCAATGCAATGTTTCAATAGACATAGGAAGATTTTATTTATAACCAAGTTCTAAATACAATGATATTCCAGCTGTAATATTTATTGTTTACCTATTATTGGCTGATAATTCCTGTTTTACCCTGTACTTACGTTTTTTAAAGTAATACCAAATTTCTATAAGAAAGCTAGCTTCAAGGGATAATGATAACATCGTTTACACTAGAATTATGATTTTTTTAAAAATTACTACTACTTATTAATTTAACCTATATAAAAGTCAGTGTGTGTCTCGTCACGTCACGCTTGATTTCTCAAAATAGAAGGAGTCATAAAAGCCAAAATGCATTTATCCAGACAGAATAGTTCGATTACAGTCTGCCCATTACGATTTTAGTGACGGAGGTGCAAGGGGGGCCATTGGGAGGGTGCCGTGAAACCTTATAAGTGTAGTGAGTGTTGGTATAATAAGCCTAAAGTAAAGACGTGGCATGGGATCACCTAGCCTAGAGTGAAGTGCATAAAATTTGTCATGGAAGTAAAAATATCG